GACTCTCTTCCTGCTTTGCTGTACGTTGGTGTGCTGCCTTTGTTGAGGAGGCAGATGTTTAGACTGGCAAACTCGTCTAGAAGCGATGTCCCGCGAGGTGTGTTTTTGGTGCTGCCCCAAGTCGTTGCCCAGGCGTTGAAGTCGGCCGCTATCAGGACCGGCGATTTGTCTCGGGCGTCGATGGCGATGCTGCTGATTATCTCTTCGAACTCTTGTTGGGTGAATCGTGGTGCTATGTAGCAACTATATACAAACATACCATTATATTTAGCCCTCACATAGCCCACTCTGGATAATCTGTGCGTGAGCTGGCCTGGTTGTGGGCCACAGCTCCAGATTGCCGATCCTCCGTCTGAGCTTTGCTGCCAGACTCCTTCGTGTTTTCCCGAGTAGGGCTCGCTGAGTAGCGCTATGTCTATCTTCTGCTCCAGGACTGTTTGCGCCAACAGGTCCTGAGCAGCTCGGCAGTGCTTTAGGTTAAGCTGGAGGAGCTTACCCATCAACCAGTTTAGACAGGGCCTTCTTGAACTCAGAGCAGCTGCGGCTAAGGGCTGAGTGGGCTGCCGAGCGGGTGTCTCCTGACTTGCCAATGCATAGTATGCACTTTGGTGGGTTGTTGCATATGTTGTGCATGTGGCCCTCCTCTTCGCACCTAAAGCAGGCATCTCTTGCCACTGGACGTTTGGACCTGCACCTGGCTGCAGTGTGTCCAAAGCCCATGCAGTTGTAGCATCGTGTTGGCGTAATACGGCGTCGTATGCGACACACCACCAAGCCAATTCGCACCTTGCCAAGTTCGAGGAGCCTATGGGCAAAGTCGGGCTGGAGGTTTTATGTGGCTCTTTGCGTCGCTCCATACGCTTACCGCATGTATGGCGCTGATGCGTGTGGTAGTGCGCTTTCAAGCGCTGCGGATATCGCCTCAGATACCTCTTCGCTGGTCGTTCCCTCGTCTATGTCGAGGACTTCAACCGCAGTCGTCTCCTGGATGGTCTTCCCTGCTGCCTTACCGCCAAGCGCTTCTTGAATGGCCACCTATAGCTCCTGGGTGGCAGGGTCGGAGGGTTATTGCATCCTGAGTAGCAGCTCCCCCGAGGCAGTCTTCCGGATTCCCTGAACCTTGTTTATTAGGGTCTGAAGAGTTGGTGCTGCCTTCACCAGTTTGGGGATGTCGGCGTATGATGCCTCCTCGGTGCATTTGACCAGCACTGCGTCTGGCCGGGCTGTCTTCTTATGTTTGGCACGCCTACCTCTGACCTCACTCCACTTCTGGGTTGGGTCAGCGCTTTCTGCCTTGCTTATCGGAGTTTTGGTCGCCTCTTGCCGGATGGGGACAGGATGACCTTGCCTGGGCTTGGCGCGAGCGCTCTTCTCCTCAGTTTGCGTCGCCTTAGTCGCACTGGGCTTCGTGGGGTGTGGGTCACACTTGACCAGCCTGGGTAGGGGGCCTGCAGGTTGGCAGTGGCACTGGCAATCGCCTGGCTCTGTCCTTTCCTCCGCTGGCGCCTTCAGCTGGGACCTGACTTCCATTTGCAGCTACTTCATTCGCCCGATCATTTTCTTGATGGCCATGTTAATAGACCTCTGGCCCTTCTCGTTCATTTGATGTAGGAGATCATCCAGTATTGCTCCCATCTCATCGATGTCTTGGGCGCTGGTCCTGCTTCTCTTGGGGGGGTTTTTCCTCACGCTACTCGATGGAGAAGGGGGTTCCCGCGGCCTCTTTGGGGTATCGGCGTCCTTAAAGTCGTCCTGTGGCGGCCCACTGGCAAAGCTGCGCATCGAGCTTTGCTTCATGGGCTGCGCTAAGGCTGCTAGTTGGTAAGGCGTTGTTCGGGCCACCTTTGAGGCTTTTTGGAAAGCCATTGCTCCGTTGCTTGTCATGCTACTTGACAAGTGTGCCACCGGCAAAGCAAGGTTGGGGGAAATTTTTGGGCGGGGTTTTTCCTGGCCACGTCCACAAAGCTATCTGCTGGGAGCCACTGTTTCTCCGCAGCGGGCGCTGTCAAGGGCTGTCTGCTTTGGCACCCAGTGCCCCTTCACAGCACTGCTATCGATCAGCTGGTTAGTGGCCTGCACTCTCCAGCCCTGGTATACCAGTCGATCAGCTGCGATGCCTGGAGTGGAATGTGTGCAACCCCAAAGTAGAAAGGAACGAGAAGGAACGTGTGAGTCGCTTCTGGGGACGCGACTCTACTTATACCCGTACTCAGTCAGTATATACATTTTTAGCTTATGTTTTTAAAATTTTAAAAAAAAAAAAATTTTACATTTTACATTTTTTTGTATATGATATCTACATTACATATACAATGTATATTTACATCTAACATGTGGATTTTACATGTTCCAATTATTTACATCTCCTCCGCTAGGGGTTGCCCTGAACCGGCAGAGTGAGCGAGGATAGATGGTTGTCGTTGGCGGGAGGGGGAGGGGAAGCAACAAATTAATTTTTCATTCTGGTATAATTAGATATCTGATTCAGATTAATCTGGTAGTTTGGTTTTTATAGTTTTTAGTTTTATCGTACTAAAGGCCCCCATTTTCGTCCTTTGTGTGGGCGGGGGGCGGCGAATTTTGAATACCTAGTGTGATATCACATGAGTTGAAACAAATTTGGTTTCCTAGCTTTATAGTCTTAGATCCAGGCTCATCAAGAGACAAACAGGAGCAGGGAGGACGACTGGATAAGATCGTATTATGTATCAATATATTTATGGGGTGAAACGTTTCTTGTTACAACCATTTTTTAGTAGGGTATAAAAAGGAGGAAAAAGGAGGAAAAAGGAAAAGAAAAGGCGGGAGCCTCCGGGCGTTGAGTGACAATGCACTCAAGGTGGGGCCTGGCACCCCTTGCCCCCTTTGGGTGCCCGTGAAGGAACGACGAGCAGTCCGGATCCGGGGCCATCAGGTGTGTGGCTTGACTCTCCCAGGTGAGCACGCGGTGTCAACAAACGCTTTGGCTAATATGTATGCGGGTCTTTCCGCAGGTATATTTCGCGATTTCGGACTTTGTTTTGCAGAGCAGCTGTTTGTCGCGTACGCACTCGAAAAATTCGCGACTGTGTATCATTCCGGGAGTGTTTTTTTTTTTGTATTCATTCGTTTATTTCTTCTATTCTATTTTCTTGCTTTACTACTACAATCTTACACTAGTGGGCATAATTTTAGTGCGGGCCGTGTTGGGGAGTGGGCGCCCAACGCGCGCGGTACTGCCGCAAAGCATTGCTTCGCACGCTCGAAGGCTCCTACTCCGTCTCCTGCTTACGCCTTCTCTCCAAAACTCTCAGAGTTCGCATAACGCTAGAGGCGAACTCTGCGGCCGCTTCCCATGCCCTTGGCTCGGCCAGCATGATCGGCACCAAGGTCACGGTAGAGATCCTGGCGCCACTACTGCCTCCAGGCGGAGACGTTCGCGGTCAAACCTGTGGCATTCGAAGAGGACGTGCCGTGCGTCCTCCACTATGCCGGTGCCGCACGCTGGGCACCAGTCCTCCGTCTCATGGCCGAAGCGCTTGAGGTAGCTGCGAAAGCAGCCGTGTCCACTAAGCGCCTGGGTGAGATAGAAATCTATCTGCCATCTACTGATGCTGTTTCTTCTTGCGTTAGCCTTCAGCTCGGCTCTTGTCGCCTCGCTTCCGTCCTGCGCGGCGGTATGGATCTCTTTTCTCTCCCTTATCAGCTCCCTAAGTGGGACTTGCCCGGCGATGACCAGCGCTTCTCTGGTGTTGAGAAGCATTCGCGAGAGCGCTCCTGCGGTTCCGTTGGCCTTCCTCTGCACGTACTCCAAGTGCTCCTTGAAGGAGAGGCGAGTGTCGATGAGCACCCCGAGGTACTTGATTGCCCTCTGCGAGCGTATCGTGGTGCCACCGACCTGCACACTTGCTGTTTCTACAGCTTTCCGGCTCGATATGAGCACCGCCTCAGTCTTCTGCGCTGCCAGGTCCAATCCGGCGACGGTAAGCCACGACTCCACGGCTCGGACGGCCGCGTTGGCGAGCTCCTCCACTGCGGAGAGGTGCTTGGCCACCACCACTATGGCGACGTCGTCCGCAAACCCCACCATGCTGGTGTTGGCTGGCATCGGTAGCGTCAGGACACCGTCGTACATGGCGTTCCAGAGCAGGGGTCCCAAAACGGAGCCCTGAGGGACTCCGGCTGAGACGTTGTATGCCCTGGAACTCAGACTAGTCTCGTACGTCAGCACCCTGTCGCAGAGATGCTGAAACGCTGTAGGGCCTCTAGCGTGCGGCTCCAATCGGCCGAGTTGAATGCGTTCCTTATATCGAGTGTCACCACGAGACAGTAGGATTTGGACCCTCCTCTCCATCTGGAACCAGCGCAGGCTTCCTCTGCCGTTTTAACCACCTTGGAGATGGCGTCCAGCGTCGACTTCCCCTTCCTGAACCCGTATTGCTCCGGGGAGAGGCCGCCTGCTGCTTTGATGGCTGTACTCAGCCTCGTGGCGATCACCTTCTCGAAAACCTTCCCTGTCGTGTTCAGGAGGCAGATGGGCCTGTAGGAGGACGCCTCGCCCGGCGGCTTTCCCGGCTTGGACAGCAAAAAGAGCCGTTGCCTCTTCCACCTCGATGGGAACGTACCCTCGTGGAGGCATCTGTTGAACAGACCCGTGACCTCGCTTGGGATCAGCGCTAGTGCCAGCTTCGTCGCTCGGTTAGGAATCGCATCCGGCCCCGGTGCCTGCAGCACCCCTTCCTCCGTGACCTCGCATTTGTCGTCCAGACTGTGCTCGGGGCTCGGGGATGTTGTTATGGGCCGCCCTTGCGAGAACAAGGTCCTAACGATCCCCTCCAACACTACTGGGTCCGTTGGGGCTCTGCTTCCGGCGTTGATGCTCTTGACCACCATCTTGTAGGCGCCTCCCCAGGGGTCCTCCTCGGCGGCGTCGCACAGCTTGAGGAAGCATTCTCTTTTGCTGTCTCTAATGGCGGTCTTCAACTCCTTCCGCGCGACTTTGTATGCCTCGCAGCAGGTTACTAGTCGCGGAGTTCCCCTGGCTCGTTGGAGCTGTCTTCTCGCGGTGTGGCAGAAGACTCGTTCCACCAGAAGACTGGGGCATGGTGCTTCCCAAACGCACTTCGCTGGAGCATGCTCAGGTCGCAGGCCGCTTCCACTGCCTCCCCCAGCTGGGTCGCCCACTCGTTGGCTCCGTCAGACTCTGATGCCGTGTAGGTCCGGAGGGCGCTTGCAAAGGCCTGTGTCCTCAACGTGACCTTCCGATACGCCTTCCTTTGCTGAGTAGGAGCTGCTCTTACCCGATCCGGTCCGACAAACACGCACTCGATGGCCTCGTGGTCGCTAGCGGTGTAGGCGTCGCTGATTCTCCAACTAGAGTTTCTGGCCAACGCGCTGCTGGCGTATGTGAGGTCAATGACTGACCCCATGCCTCCCCTGCTGAATGTTTGTTGGGATCCTTCGTTGAGCAGCACCATGTCCAAGGTAGGCCTCCAGCACCGTGCGTCCTCTAGCGTTGGTAAGGGAGGACCCCCACTCCTGGGCCCAGGCATTGAAGTCGCCCCCGACTACGACGTCGCTTCGTCCTCGCAGGTCTCCGATCAGCTCGTCGATGATTCGGCTGAAGGTCTCCAGCGGGAGGCTAGGCGCCAGGTAGCAGCTATAGACCCACTTACCGCCTACTTTGCCTCGGACGAACCCATCGGCCGACTTTATGTCGCAGCTCTGGGGCGTCTCCACTCCGCATGTCCACAACGTAGCTCTGCCCGAGCGATCTGTGGCCCAGTCGCTGCAGCTGGGAACCCTATAGGGCTCGCTGAGGATTGCCACCTCCGATCCCCGCTCACGCACCGTCTGTTTCAGGAGGTCCTGTGCGGCCCTGCAGTGGTTCAGGTTGAGCTGGATCAACCGCATGTCTTTCTGCGTTGACCGACCCCGCTGAACGCGGCCGGGCAGCTTTTGCTGCCGGCCTGGTGCCTGGACTCCTTCTTGCCCGCTGCCGAGCAAATGAAGCATGATGGCTCCTTTTTGCAGTCAACGGCTTTGTGCCGCTGCTAGCCGCTCCTATCTATTGCACTCCTGCAGCTGCTCGCGATGTGCCCAAGTTCCAGGCATCTGTAGCATCTCGGGAGTCCTCCTCTTTCGCGGATCCTGCAGACGGTCCAGCCGATCCGCACCTGTCCCCGCTGCATTACTGCTTTGCCCAGGGAAAAAGGCAAGCTGACCACCGCCGTTTGGGACTCCGCGTAGCCGCGTCGCAGGCTTCGCACCCTGACTCGTCCCTCCTCTATCCCGAGCTGGTCGAAATAGCGGATATGTGTGAGTTATAACACAGATTAGGTACAAAGATTATTCCCAAGTCAGTAATTTTGTAAAGGCGGTTTAAGGAACAGTTATGGATATTATAGTCAAAGAGGTAAGGCTTGCTGCGATGGAATGTCATGACGTTAGATTTGGAAATGTTAAGGGAAAGAATGTTTATTAAGCACCAGTTGTTGAGGGCGTCAAGATCAGATTGGAGACATAACGGGGACATGGGGTCGCTATAGGAGTGAGTTAAGACTTGGGGAAGATCATTGATGAATAAATTAAACAACAGAGGGCCAAGATGGCTACCTTGAGGTACCCCCGACGATACCGAGACAGGCTTAGAAAGAGAGTTATTAAAACAGACACGCTGAGATCGATTACCAAGATATGCATTAAACCAGAAAAGAAGTTTAGGCGGAAACCCTAGGAGAGATAATTTATGAATAAGCAGATTATGATTCACTGAATCAAATGCGTTACTAAAGTCAGTATAGACTACGTCAGTTCGCGACTGCTTAGCGAAACCCTCATGCACGAAAGTGGAGAATTCCAGGAGGTTAGACGAAATAGACCGACGTTTTACAAATCCATGCTGCGATTCAGAGAATAATGAACAACAAAAGTGTTGGAGCTGGGAAGTAATTATTTTTTGGAAGAGTTTAGGAATGGCGGATAACCAGACCAGATGGCTGCCTTCCCGCATCTGCTGTTGATCCAGCCGCTTCCCGGTATCGTCCTGAATGGCTCGCATATAAGAACGACGTCCGTCTTCCGCTCTCTAACTGCTTGTCTTAGGAGAGACTGTGCAGCTTCGCAGTGGTTGAGATTCAGTTGAGTGCATCTCATGCTGATCTCTTCGACAGGGCGCTCCTAAACAGGGGGCATCTACCGCTGCCGGCCACGTGCTTCCAATCGGCGCTCCGAGTCGCAGTCTTTTGCTATGTGGTCCTCCTTACCACATCTCCTGCACACCTTTGATCTATCGATCTCGCTCCTGCACTGCCGTGCCATGTGCCCGAATTCGAGGCATTGGAAGCACTTGGTGACGCTGACCCGTTCGCGGAGTCTGCATCTAACCCAGCCTACCCTCAGCACTCCCAGCTTAAGCGCCTTTTGAGCGCTCTCCGCTGGTAGCCTGATTGTGGCCGTCTGAGTTCCTCCGTATGCCTTCCGCAATTGGATGTCCTCTGCGGTTAACTCCGTGAGGGTTACCTGTCTTCTCATTGCCTCCACTATATCGTCCCTAGTGGTGATCTCGTCGAGGTCCCTGCATTCGAGACTCACCCGATGCGTCAGGGTACGGACTTCCGCCTGCTCACCCAGCGTCCCAACTACTAGACTCTTGAAAGTCTCAGTCTCCTGTCCCGATTTGTTGAGCTGCAACAAGAGCTCTCCTTTTTGTGTCCTCCTTATCCTGGCGACCGCGTCTCCGAGTCCGTGAAGGGTTTCGTCCGTCTTCACTTTACGCAGTATATCAGCGTAGCTGGTTTCGCCTTTCGTGGAAATGATGATGGCATCCGGTCGCGTCTTCTCTACGAGAGCTCCAGGCGGCTTTTCCGTCTTCTTCCTTCTGCGTCGGTTGGACACGGTCTGGAAAGGGATCTCCGCGGGCGCTTCGTTCCCCGTTTCGATGGGGGCGTCGTTTCCGACTGCTACGCCTGGCATGGTCTGTGCTTCCACTGATGCCTTGGTTCTCTTCGTCCGAGGTGTTGGCGCACCTGCAGCCTGCTTCCTCTTTGGCTCCGGAGCCGTTCTAAAGAACGGGGATGTCTGAGAGGACTGGTGTGTCCTGATCACAGCCTTAGCTCCTTCGTCATGTAGCTGGATGGCTACCAGCTCATACAGCACCCGTATGCTCTCGATCGAGTCCCTCATAGGCTGGTGTATCGAGCGCCTCTTCCCATCGTCGAGCATCTCCACAAGCTGCGTGATTTCTCTTCCGAGATCGCGCAATGCTGTGCTGCTCTCCGAGTCCTGGCGTTGCACCGGATCCGTGCGTGCCGGCGGGGGCGCGTCAGTCCGTTCGCCAGTCGGGGTCCTCGCCATTTTGTTGCTTTTTGTAAAGCCGTCTACCTTCTCTTTCGTATTTGGTGTGGTTGTGCTCATTTTGTTGGGTCCCAACTCATAAGCCGTTGTCCTTGTCCGTTGTACAGTCGCGTTTTGATCCCATGGTTGTCTAAGCAAGCGGGGAGGCCATGCGAGGGTTGACTCTCGCCCTTATGGGGTCGGGAGTTCAGAGCCGGATCCGCGCTAGTCAGGAGTGACTCAACTGAGCCTGTACGTCCAACTTAATGGCGACGAAACAAGGAGCGTGCTTAGAGATTGGCCAATTTTTCACGGGACGGGGGCAGAAGCAGCATTAGCCTAACAGCCATTTCACTCCGCGTACTAAGGTGCTAGAATACTAATTTCCGTCAGCCCAGGGGTCGTCAGGTATGACAAGGGGGGTCCAGTTCCGATCCTAAGACTTTACTGGTCTCCGTCTTAGTCGCCTTCTCGTATTAGCTAGGTACTGTGCAGACCTATTTGGGGGATACCTGACATGTGCCGGCGGTTACGAGCTGCTTTAGTGCTCTGGAGAGGAATCGACCTGTCTATTACCAAGTTAATGGAATTCAGGGTCTTTCCGCCTACTACAAGGCACCTATCCGAGCATAACATCCCCGTGTCTTCTTAGTCGCCTCATACGACATATGAGGCGTGAGGTCGATCACCGAGCCTGCACCTCCTCGGTTGAACGTATTTGCCGATCCTTGGTTCAGCAAAACCACGTCGAGCGTCGCGAAGGCCTCCAGGAGGGCCTGACCCTTCGCTATTGCGTCCGAGCTGCTGGTTTTGGAGATATCGCTGCCCCACTCCTGGGCCCACGCATTGAAATCTCCCGCAATTACGACAGGCTTGCGGTCTCTGGCATCGTCCACCAGCTCGTCTAAGGCTGCTGCGAAGCTATGGCGACTTAAGCTTGGTGGGAGGTAGCAACTATACACCCACAGACTCGCCAGTTTGGCCCGCACAAAGTGTCTATACGCTACGCATGATGTCGGCCGTATGCATGGTCTGCCACAGGACCAGATCGCTGATTTCCCCGACGAGCTATCGACCCAACATCCGTCTGCTGGGGATCGGTATGGCTCGCTGATGATGGCGACATCCGACCTTTGCTCCCGCACCGCCTGAGTGAGCAAATCGCTTGCTGCCTCGCAATGGTTTAGGTTGAGCTGGTAAAACCTAAACATGCTGGTTGGCTTTCTTGCTCTCCTTGGCTGTCATGGGACACCTCTGGCTTCCAGCAGCGTGGTTGTGCGGCTTCCCTTTTCCAGCGCAATAGAAGCATTTCGCCTCCTTACGGCAGTCGCGGATTTTGTGACCTTCAGCACCGCAACGGAAGCACCATCCGCTTCTGTCCACTGTACTGACACAATTCGCTGCGATGTGCCCAAGCTCCAGGCACTTGAAGCAGTTCAATGGCAAATTACGCTCCCTTATCCTGCACACAGACCAGGCCACCTTAATCTTCCCAACGGCCAGAATCTTTCTTGCCTCGATCGCAGAGAGGCTGATAATGGCGCGTTGCGTGCCTCCATACGCTGGACGCATACTTTTTATGGCTGCTTCATCCAGCGTGGCGCCGAGCTGCTCCTGAAATGCCTGCTTCAGGTCATTTGCTGTGGCCATCTCGTCCAGGTATACCACTTCAAGCCTCGTTTGCTGGGTGAGAGCTCGCGCCTCCACCTTCCCTTGCAGGGCAGTGCTGATGCTGTCTCTCAGCTGCTGCGTTGTATCCAGGGTAGCGCCATTTAGCTCCAGCAAGAGTGCTCCTTTGGCGGTGCACTTCACCTTGCGGACGCTCTCTCCAACCATCCTCAATTTTTCGTCCAGGCTCCGGGTGACCAGGTTTAATATTTCCGCGTACGTCATCTTATCTTTTGGCTCGATTATAATGGCATCTGCTCGCGGTCGCACCGGTCGAGTGTGTGTCCTGCCCTTCACTTCCGTCCACTCGGTTGCTGGAAGAATTTTCTCCTTTGTCTCAATCCGTCAACCTTGGTGAGGCTGCTGTAGGGGGTCTCCTCCTGGTCTTTTTTTCGCTTTGGCGTGTTAATAGCGGACGTAGCGGGGGGTCTTTTTCCTCCGGTTTGTTGAGGGGAGCACTGGGTCTGCTGGTCCTTGTGCTCAGCACGCTCCTTCCTCTGGGCGTTCGAGTCGAAGCTAAAAAGGGCCGACTTTTGCAGCCTAACCACTTTTTGCGCCAGCTCCTTCATGTCCTTGTTGAGGTACCGAGCGTCCCTCAACATTTTCGACAATTCTGTCGATTTCTCCACCAGGCTCACCAGAGTAGAGCGAAGGTCCTCAACTTCCTCTACCCCTAAAGCGCTCTTCTCGCGGGTGGCACCGCTGAAGTCAAACGGGTTGACTGGGGCTTCCGCCGGGGCTGACACCGTGAGCGTCGGCTGCTGCCTCATATGTAGGGATTCCTTTAGAGAGGATCCAGTCTGAAGGACTGGGTGTGTCCCTTTCTCCGCTGGCTGCTCTCTTGGCCATATGCCCCTGGGCGTTTGCCACTGCGGTGGGGAGCGCTGCAGGCTCGATCTCCTCTCAAAAGCCATCTTTTCCTCCTCCTCCATACTTTCCGTTATGTGCGATCGGTTAGGGTTTTGAATTCAAGTAGCCCGCGAAGCTTGAATAACCGGTTCATCGGATCCACC